GATAATGTGGCCAGTTCAGGTGCCCAGGGGTGAGGCTGGTGTGGCATGTGGTTGTGGTGCTGAAGATGGAACTTTGGTTGTTGTGCTTGCCTAAAAAGGTGCGTAGTCTGCTGAGCTACCTCACTGGCCTTGGTTTATTTTTTTGTTATGTTTTTAAAATCTATATTTATATTGTAAACACTTTAACGGTGCATACTTTAAGAGAAACCCTCAAATACAACTAAATGGTAATCTATTAACTCATTTTCCAAATGTCTTACTGGAGAGAGATGTTCAATATTATATTTCAATGTAAATTAATATATTTTAAATCTTTATGTTACCTTAGAATTTCATAAGTATAAAATAATACTATTAAATCTCATATAGTTGCTTATTTTAAATATTGTATCTAGAAATGTCAAATTATTGCACTAAGTAGGGAGAAAAATACATGAAGATTAGAAAAAAATCATGTAATCAGCATGCTAGAACTATTCAGATGTAGAAGACATGCCAAGCATATTTCCTAACATTAGCATCATTAAACTGAAGAACATCATGGTTGCCTTAAAAAAGAGAGTGAGTGGAGGGAGAGACACAGATGGAAGGAAAGGGAGGAGGAGGAATAGGGTGGGGACATGTTTCAGGGAAAGCACGCTTCAGCTTTTGGATAATAGAAATGTTCTTTAATCATTTATTTATTCAATAAATATGAATAATTACAGCATGCTAGCAGCTTTTGATTTAAATCCTACAAATATAATTGTGCTCATTTAAACAACTTCCACATCCTCCTGATGTATAAGTTCTAACAATTGCATTTAGTTGAACATAAAGATACAAATAAGGAATTATTACTCATCCTGTCTAAAGTGCTTGTTACAGACAGGAGAATTTAGAGTATAAAGACAGGAGCATGGAAGAGAAAACAAGAAGGATGAAAATATCATGAAAACTCTACTTGCAAATTGAATATTAGATAAAATATAGCATAAGATCGCAAATAAATGGTCTAAATGTATAATGTTCATACGCACTTCTGTGTATTGTAGCTATGGCTGTCATTTAATTATTTGCATTTTCCTGTAGGACAAAAAAATCACTTTGAAACAAAGAAACGTGCAACACATGGAATATTTTGTTAAAGATGTTACAAAGGAAGGAGATACACTTGACAGCATAAAGAGTACAAAATCAACGGGAGTTAGTACAGAGGAGAAGAATTAGATGCAGAGAAAGAGAAGATAATATTTTCCTTTGCCTCTAAACGTCTAAATGTCTATGGTCTCCAAAAGGCAGAAGGAAAAATCATCCGAGGGAATGAAGTATGGCATTAGGTCTTGGGAGGCTGATAAGGAAGCCCCGTTGCAGGACACCGTAAGAAGCCCGGTAACAGTAGGGGGATAGCAAGGATCCACATGTAGGATGGCAGGCACACGTTATAGTAGATTTTTGCAACAAGCGTTTTTCTCTTTCTTCAGTAATTTCACATCATGACACATAGGATAGCAAAAGAAAAGAAAAATAGGAACTGGTAGTGGAGACAGAGTTGGCTAACAAAGCAGGAGTCTGATCTCCCGATGAAGAGGGAGAAAGTTGGATCTCATTTTTTAAAAGCAGTATAATAGAGGTGAGAGGTGCACCTGTGAAGCCTATAAATTCCCCGTTCGTATACTTAGCCTAGATTGAGATCATTATCCACTACAGGAGAGTGGAAAAGTCTGATTCAATAATGGAAAAGGAGGGATGGTTGCGCCAATGGAATAATTGCTTCTGGAACTGAAAAGAAGTATACGTATTCTAAGGAAGAAAATACAAGGTAGCAGCTTACACCTAGCGGTGACTTGGAAGGCATTTGTTTTGCAATCACTCAGTCTTCTGTTACTTGCCTGACTCATGGATTAATGGATATAATCTTTCTACAGAAGCTGTGGTTTTTATCTAGCGGCACGCTTCGTGCAAGTACTGTAGTGGAGACCTAACATCTAAATTTACAACGAAATCCTCTGCAGTTTATAAGGTGTCTTATCCTATGGTCATCGCAAAGCTTTTAAAATGTAATCAAGAGAAGAATCAAGAAACTCAGTCTCACAAACTGAATTAAAAGGGACACATTCACATTTGCCTTTTATATCCATGTCAAAGATAGAGAGGCTGGGAGGCACTTAAACGGGGGGGGGGGCATCATATCTGTCACAAGCTGTATCCTTTTCTTCATAGGGAGGTTAGTTTTCAAGGCTATCCATCAATTAACCTTCACAAGAACAAGAATGAAGCCAAACAAAGAAACACTCCCAAAAGAAATGGCGTTGCTTCTAATCGTGCCTATATATCTTGCCCTGGGGATTTGAAGACAGAACAAAGACCTCTCTCTCCCCAGGCATGCAAAATGACACAGACACCTTGAAATAAATATATCAAATGTTGGTTGAACATATTGTAGACAGAATTACTATGTTTTTAAAACTGGGATTGGGGTTAAGGGAAGTAACTAAGATCATCCCTGTTGAGTTTCTGTCTTATGCTGTGATTTGTAATGCAGAAGCCCAAAGGATCAACCTATTTATTTATTTTTAAGTCTTGGCCTGATCTAGATTTGTTCATTGTACATATTTGGAATTATTAGTTTGATGATAGACGCACTATCAGAAAACCAGAGGAAATTGGTGAGATGGAAAATAAAGAGCCTGTGCTTGTTTTTAGATTTTTGTGGTTGTTGTTGTTGAAGAGATAATTGTAGTACAGATTGCTACTCCCTCTTTAAGCTAACTAGTAAGCCAGCTTGGAATACTGTGCAGGAATTGTGAAATCCACTTACCACAACATTTTAATTTCTTAAGTTTCTGTGTTTGCTGTATTTGAGAAACCATACTCATGCGATAGATAGTAATAGCCTTATTGTTTTTCCCACAGACAGTTAAAGAAACCTCACTTACACATTTTTAATAACATTAGTTACAAAGCCAAAATATCATTAATGGAAGCAAAGCAAAGACACCTGCCAGTGGGTCAAGGATGCAGGTTCTAGTGGGAAAAATTGCAGGTTCATTAAGCAAGATTGCAATAATGTTTCGGTGCACATTGGTTAAGCCACAGCTCCTCCATGAGTAATTATCAGCATGGGGTGATGTAAAAGGATAAGGATTTCATCACTACTATATGAGAGCAAAAGGACAAGGAGAACAAAACAAATTTGGAAACAGATAGAGATACACATGACAATGAAGTCCGAAAAAGGTTATATTCAAAGAATCAATCCAAAGACATGGAAGGAGTATCTAAAGCCAAGTTACTAGAGCAGGATGGTGGCAACCCCTCGAGCTCAAGATTTATTTGTTGGGTTGCTGAGAATGAAGGTGGGCCCGAGGTGCTGAGTTGAAGACCCTACTCAGCATATTTGAAAAATTAAGCAGTGTAGGTGTATTTCTATTCTAATATGCCATAGTAGGTAGGACTGCTTACCAGTATAAAGCACATTAACAACCAGGATGTCATACTGGTGCATACTTACTGAATATGAGCTTCAGACGATGCCTATGTGTGCTGTTGGTAGGTAAACTAACCTTCCAAAGCCAACCAAGTGAGAGAAACAAGTTCTAGTGAGGTTTTCAGTCTTTATTTAGCTGTTAGAAAACCTCTTCCAGGTGATAGGAGAACGTAGTCACCTCTGCTTTCTCTGCCAACAGCAGTAGTCAGTGCACCATCTGGGTTTTCTCAGAGGAAGGGCAATTCCACCAGAAGCCAGAAGGTCTCCCATTACTTAAGCCAACAGCATATCAGAATCTTAGTTTATACTTAATTCCCACAGCCAGATCACAGGTGAACACATCTGGGAATGCGCGCCGCAGTTGCAACTACTGATTCAAGCGTTCTCTGGTTTGCAGCCTTTCTTTCTCTCATTTCCTCCCTCACCTTTTCAGCTCCAAAGTGAGTTCAAACTCATGTTTGCATAGTACAGTGATATATTTGAATCAAACTTCTTGGAAGGTTGTCATACTTATGACATCTGTGACAATTGTGAGCACCACCATACACGAGTTCAGCAATGCCCAGGCTATACTGGCTCCAAAAGAAAACTATATTGCTCCTTCACCCCTATTATCAATACTGAAAAATGGCTTTACTGTTTGAAAGACACGTTTTTTGTATGTAAACAATAATCCATGTATATATGTTAATGGATAGCAACTAAATAGTCCTAAGTAAAATCTGTGAGTATTCTACAGAAGTGTTAGAGTGATCAAAGAGTACAATTTACTGACTGTGAATAAGAGACAAGTTTGGGATAAGAAAGACAAATAAATACAAGACAGTGTTATGTTTTAATTTTTTTTTCTTTCTTAAATAGCCTATGCTTACAAACTGCCAATGTAGTATTTTTTCTTTTCATTGATAGAAAGTTGTCAGTAGAAATGTGGTTGGTAAAATTGCCAAACATCAGGGAAGACTTTCAGTTTAAGCATTCAAATCGTTTGCCAACAATACCTCTATAAAATCCTGATTTTTTGTTATTCCACATTTTAAGTTACTAGCACAAAACTTACCTATTAAATAAAGTTTATTTTCTTAAATTTAAGCAGAACTAATATTAAGACTATATTATTTTGGACGTTTTAGAAACAAAATAATTGAATAACTGTATAAAAATTAAATTGTCAATAATATGAAAATTGATAGATTTGAATACTCTCCATAACCTTTTTAGACTTCAGGTTCAATGCATAAATATTTCAACATTTAGAAATGTTCCAAGGATCCTGATAACTACTGTCTCACAGCCCTAAATGTCTAGGGAACTCAGCATTACAAGCAATGGGTAAAAGTGAGTTTAAAAGTGCCCAAGTACTACTGTTCATTTACATTTGAGGAAATATACTGAATTATTGAATGTACGACCACTCTTTCAACATGATAGAAAATGCTGTTTGTTTCTTTCCCGTTCCTTTGCCTGTTCTTTCTGCTGAAAGCATCGGTTGGCTTTGTGCGACAGCAGTTGGAAGCACCCAGGGCGTACTCACCCGCCTGATTAGTTGTGATGCTGACTGCAGCGAACTGCCTTGGTGGGGAGCTCAGCTCCGACACCCCGTTAATTGCGTCGATCTCAAAGGTGTAGTTGGTGTGTGCCAGGAGGTCTGTCACGGTCACGGTGGTGTTGGAGAGTCCGAACTGCCGAGGGAGGAAGCGGACGTGTGGGCTGCAGGGCTCACACTGCGGCACGTTCCACCCGCACTTTTTACAGATGATGTTGAAGGTAATGTCCTTCCTGCCTCCTGTGTCCAGGGGCCAGCTCCAGTCCAGGATAACCGAGGTCTCATTTATATTAGAGATAACATTTCTTGGTGCTGACGGAGGTCCTGCAAAGCAGTTCACAAAGATTAATGGCCTCACTTCTGTGTTCCACTATAAGGAAAATAGATAATTTACAGTGGAGCTGAAAGAGGTAAATAACTAGCCTGTCTTTATTATCTACTTTTAACTCACCCTTAGAGGAGCCTTAAGATTATATACGCATGGATTCAACTGCACGGTCCTCCCCAAGGTAGGAGTGGGGGAGTTTTCAATCAGGTCTGAGGATGTGTTCACAATGTCTAGCAAAGGAATTTACCACTGAATTCAATACCCCTGTGAACAGTTACGAAAACTTTCATATTCCCTTTATAAATCTTAGTCTCTTCCCCCATGACCTATGGCCAATAGATAGCAAGAGGGAATAGAAATGTAGAAACACAGATCCCCTTCCCATCGCCTCCCTTCTCCTGTCAAGAGGAAGGCATGATCTTAAAACAAGATACGGAAAGTTTCTTTTCTTTCTGGGGGACACACTGCAGGAAGAGCTTTATGAACTAATTCATTTTGTGTGACACGTGTTGCATTTTTGGCGAGCCAAGCACGAAGACAGAGTCGGAGAAGCTTTTGGTTTGCACGTGTGTAATGGGAGGAAATGGGCGGATGCTCAAAAAGCACACATAGAACAAAAAACAAACAGCACAGTCTCAAGAAGAAGAGGAAGAAAAAAAAAAACAAACCAGCAAATATGGAGGCATGGGTTGCAGCAAAACTACTCACGGGTACAAGCCATGGATGGAGGGTCTTTGTCAGCTCGGAAGTAATTATTCTCACACCTGCAGTGCACTGAACCTTCTTCGTTCGTAGAGCTGTGAGGCGGGCATTTAGTACACTTCGCGTTACCGTCCGCAGCCTTATAGAAGCCCGGCCGACAAGCTGCAAACAAAACAGCTCTTTTAAAGTTCTGGGATGAGCTTGAGAACATACCTTGAAGACATGTCAGACAGTTTAGGGCTGTCAGAGCTTGGATGCATCATGAATGGAAATCAGTTTTTATTACTAGAATTTACAGCAGCATATACTGTGATGCAGGGTACATTTTTCTACATATACCCTTGAATTTGTACCAAGTGCTAAGGGAGAAACGCGCTACAAGATTTAGATTACTTTGGCTCTAGAGGATGATGAAATTTCCAGCTTGTGTTTTCACAGCTTTACTTGGCATTGGATTATTTGTGGAGAAAATAAAGCAAAGCCATGTCATCACAGAGTCATTCCCTTTTTAAAACATGAGGCAATGTGTACACTGGGAGCTGTGCTGCGGTTCGCAGTGCGTTACCCCAAACACTGTTTTCTGATTGCTGTAGGCGCCCACGACTCTGCCCTAAAAACTGCAAGCAACTCCAGGAAGGAATAAACCACAGCCTCCCGTGTATTTTAGGGTTCTTGGTCATAGTCGTTATGAGCCACAGATTTGTTTTCTTTTCATCTTTTATTTTCCTTAACTTCTATGGAAAACGCCATTATAATGATTGAAATACAGTCACTGGTCTGTATACGCACTACATAGGGGAAAAACAGGTTGCTTTCAAAATGATACACTTATCCAGTACAGACAAAGTATCTAAAAGTGTAGCTCGACTTAGTGTAATTGTCTTACATATTCTGGATGTGCTTTAACCCATGTGTCTGGTTATCAATCTGCGTCTATGATGATTAACTTTATAAGTTGAATGCCTATCATTTTGTTTAGTGAAATTCTGTATCACTTCTAGTGTATTTTTTCTTCTACCGTCTTTTATTCCCTTTAAAAATAAAAGAAGGAAATAACCCAGTGGTCTAATCTCCTGCCTGGCAAGCGCCAGGTCCTGAGTTCAAGCACCAGTACCACGTGCTGTGCTGGTCCTGGGTTCTCTGTGGGCCCTGAAATGGGAGTGGTGATGCGCGCCTATAATCCCAGCACTAGAGAGGCTGAGACAGGAGGACCACTGCGAGTCTGAGCTGCGTAGTGAGACCTGGTATCAAATATATAAAAAATAAGAGATTCAAAAGAAATAAAATACAATGAAGTGTGTCAATCCTCATTGACACACCTCATTTTTCTAAAACCCAATTTAGAAAACAATAAATAAAGGAATTTGATGTTGGAAAAATAAAATGGGAGAAAGGAATTGTGATGTCATACACATGTACCAAACTCCTACAGTGAATATAATCATTATGTATAGCAGACATGGACTAATAGAAGTCAAAATTGAAATAAAGAAATCCCAGTGAACTGAACATACTTCATGTGCATCATTTGATCAGTTGGGGCCAGTATATATAGTTGGCAAACATCTCCGCAGAGATAGCAGGTGTTGCATCTCTGCCAAATGCTTTCATATCTATTTTTGATATGTCCTTCCTTCAGCATCTAGTCCTAGGTAACAATTGATCAGCTGTCTGTCACTACACATTAGTTTGCATTCTCCAGAATGTCACATAAATGCAATTGTGTGCTACATAACCTTCTATGCCTGGGTTCTCTCATCAAAATAGCTTTTAGATGTATCATATTATTGTGTGTATCCATGGTTAACTCATTGTATTGGCGAGCAGGATTCCCCGTGTAAATCATAATTTATTTACATATTCAACTGCTGATGGACTTCAAGATTTTTCTAGTTTGAAACTCAAAAATAAAACTCCTTCCAATATTCATTTCTAGATGTTTGTAGAAACATAGGCAGTATTTTCCTGTGGGTAAATACTGAAGGGTAGAATGGATGGTTCATATATTAAGTGTATATTTAAGTCTTTTGGAAATTGTCATTTAAAAATAATTACATCAATTTACATTCCCATCAACAAATTACGAGATCTTAGTTGCTCCCCTCTTTATCAACATTTGGTCTCTTCAATTTTGGTCCCTCCAAGAAGTCTGTGATAGGATCTCATGGTGGTTTCAAGGTGAAGTTCTTTTATAAATAAGGAAATAAAGCATCTGTACTCGTACTTCGGGACCACTTACGTATCCTGTCTGGTAAAGTGCTCAAATCTTTTGATCATTTCTTTATTGTTATAGCTCTTTGTATATTCCAAATTTAAGTCTTTAGTTTTATGATCATTGTGAAGCTATTTTCTCCAAATGTACAATTTGTGTTTTTGTCTTCTTTGTGGTGTCTTTCCAAGAAATGAAATTTTGATTTCAATAAAAATTTGAGACACTTATGAATTGTTATTTGATGAAAGCTCCCATACCAACTATGTTATGGTCATTCTTCCTGGACATATCTATATACAGCATTTTTTGTAAGACAAATGAACTGGTTATCCAACATTGATTTTAGCTCAATGTTTATTAGCCACCCTTTAGTTTTACTGTTCTTACATAATTGTGTTTCACTTATATGACTTTCATTTAGCCTGAGAAAACCCAGAATACCATGGCAATTTCATTTGACTCATTTTCATATGCTTGGAA